GCCGCTGGGCGTGGCCCGTGCCGCGGGCGCCGCTCTGGATGGCGCGCGGGCGGGGCGCGCTGCAAGCTGCCCCGCTGCCGGCCGCGGCCCCTGCAAGCGGCACAGCGGAGGACCCATTGGGCGCAGCGGCTCACTCGAGGCCGCAGCAACCTGGGCAGGCCGTAAGGCGGCTCGCGGCGCCGCCGCGGCCGCAGTCGCTGGAGGCTGACGTCCCGCACGTGCAGCATCTGCAGGAGCGCAGCCAACGCGCGGTGGCGCAGGGCGGCGGGGCGCCGGCCTGGGTAGAGCCGTGGGTGGCGCCGCCACGCGTGCAGCAGCCGGACCAGCAGCAGCAGCAGCAGCAGCCGCGCCGCCAACCCGCCGCTGCTGCACGCACTGCCCTTGCCGGCGGCAAGCGGCGACTCGAAGCAGAGACAGCGGCTGGGTTGCCGGGGGCGATCGACGCGCCGCGCAAGCTGCAAGCGGTGGTGGCAGCAGCTGCTGGCAGGGTTGCAGGAGGCCGCGGCTGGCAGGCTGCGCCCGCGGCACCAGCAACTGCGGCCGTGGTGGGCCGGCCGCATGGCGGCAGCCGCGGCGGCTCGGAGGCGGCGGCCGGGCCGCGGTCGCCGGCCGCGGCGTCGGCGCACGGCCACTCGCAGCTTGAGGCCGACGACACGCAGCACACGGCCGCCCCCACCCCCACAATATCGCGCCGCTCGTGGCCCGGCGCCAACCCTTTGTCAGGCCTGCTTGGCGCCGCGCAGGGCCTGCTGGCGCCCCCACCCGGCCCCGCCGCCCCTGTGGCGCCCCAGGTGGACGCGCCGCCGCCCTCGCGCCGACTGCCCCCCACGCGCGCCCTCAGCGCAGCGCCGCCGGCGCCTGCCGCCGCCCACCGGCCGCATGACGGCCTCAGCGCCGTGCGGTTCGTGGTGCTGCCGCACCTGGCCCCTGCTGACACGCAGCACCCTGCCAACCCACTCGCCGCGGTGGCGGCCGGCGCTATGGCGCTCCTGCGCAGCTTGTCGGGCCAGCAGCAGCAGCTGCTGCTGCAGCAGCCAATCGGCGGCGGCGGCGGCGCGCGCGCGCAGCTGCGCGGCGTCGACGCGTTGGTGGTGGCCGTCGACACCGACGCAGCCCTGCTCGGCGACGGCGCCGCCGCCGCGCCCGTCGCGCGCGCGGCCTTGGGCTCGGGCCTGCCGGCGGTCGCGCTGCTGCTGCGCGCGGCGACGGGCGCGCCGCAGCAGGTGTGGGAGGAGGCGCAGGTGCGGCTGTCCGAGCTGCTGGGCGGCACGATGCCGGTTGCCCCCTTGGATGTCAATGGCATCATGGATAACGAGGCCGGCGCAGCGGACTTGGCGGCGGGGCACCCCCGTGCCAGCCCTGTCGCGGCAAGGTGGGAGCCTGCGCTCGCGGCGCTGCCAAGCGGGCGGCGCGCGGCGCTGCGCGGGCAGGTCGCAGCGGCACGCGCGGCGCTGCAAACGGCGCTGACGCGAGGGGACGCGGATTGGGCGATACCGCTGCAGCGCTCCAAGCTGTGATGCTCGTGTCTCCGGGCTCCGGTCGAGGTTGAGCGTGCAGGGACTGCACAGCTGCATAATGGCCCGCACAGCAGCCAGGGCCTTGTCATTCAGGCGTGCGCTCCATGACGCCGGTTCGACGGGTCACCCGCATCGCCACTTCTTTTGCATCACGATCGCTCAGTGCACACATGTCCAGTCTGCCCTATCCCACCTCAAGGGAATGATTTGGCGCTGCGGTGGTGGTTGTGAGCGGTTGATGTTGGTTGGGCGTTGCAGGCGTCAATGCAAGCGGTTGTGGTGTTGTGGCCAGACGCCTGCCCCATGTACAGTCCCCTCCATGTGCTGTTGCAGCTGCAGCCGTTTCTGTTCGTTGTGTCCTGTACTATGGTTTTTCTGGTGTCGTCCCCGAGCGCTGAGAGGAGAGCAGATGTCACTCAGTTCTCACCAAGCACTGCGGGATGACTCAGAGCATGCACCTCTCGGCGGGTCTTACGCACCTTTCCACAATTCATGACGTGCACAGCCGCCTCCTGCTCAACAGCTTGCGTCAGCGGTGGATCATACCACCTGCTGCTCATTCATGTGTGCTGTCACCACCCATTTCCTGCTTGCCGCCCCTTGCTTAGCAGCACATCCCTCCAGGTGAGCTGAGACATTGGCTTGCGAAGTTCTGTCGTGAGGCTGCGAGTTTGGGGTTCAAGTGGTGCTGCACCTGTGTATGTGGTAACACGCAGTGTATGCATAACAATGACCCAGCCTATTCTGGGGTACTACCCGTCCTGCCCACATTCAGGGGTAGAGTGGTGCCTGCAGCTCACTGAGCCGTGCGTGGGTTTCTGTGCGGTGGCCCCACCATGTGTGGCAGGCGACTGTAGATCAGGCAACATAATATATATAGCCTGATGCTGATGGAGTGACTCATCTGCAGCGCTCGCCAAACAAGATGCACAAGCTGAGTTCTGGTCAGCTGGCTGAGGACAGCGTCGTCGACCCATTCCAGCAGAGCACATCAGTCATCAGTGTCGAATCTGAAGGTTGCTTGGCCATCCGTCCTCCTGCAATGATGCGATGCCACAGCAACCAGTGCTGTCTGTAACAGGGTAAACACGTCGCATCAAAACACCGTAGCGTTTCGACGCGGGCAGAACGGTGGGCGTCCCGATCTACGCCTTCCTCTAGAAGCAGAAAATAGATGAAGGTGTCCATAGAGTTTGGGTGAGGACGGCAGTTGCGGGCGATGCATGCCGCCAGCAGCAGCATGGCAATATTTGATGTGCGCCTGACGCGGTGCTGCATCCGTGGTGCTGCGTCCGCAGCGGCGGCCTGGAGCTGTTGTTTGGCAACCAAAAGAGCTATGAAGTAGAAGTGCCTGACAGTGGTGATCAGGTAAGCCATCAGCCCATTGATCAATCAGTGACCAGCGCCTGAGTCTAGCCCACGCTGTTGATGTCACATGGCAAATGCATGCTGGCCTGCTGGCCAGTGTTGCTCAACTAAGCTTCTCCTTTGTATCGCACTGATTTTCATCCTGGTGCTGGTGCCGTCGATGCTGTGTTGCCCGTCCCCAACTCATCAGCTGACGGTGCGGCAGCTGCTGCCATGGGCGCGAGACAACCTGCTTCAGGACAGGCCCGAGCTGTTCATGAAAGGGGACAGCGTGTGAGCGGGTTGAGTGCATGGCGTTGCGTGTTCAGGCACCTGACGTACAGCGGCGGCGGCGGCAGCGACAGCTGGTTGGCGCCGTGCAAGTGCATCACGCTGTGCCGCTTGCCTGGTCACGGCCACATTGACTCTCTGCTCTGACCCCGCCGCCTCACGCCACATCCACCAGGCGGCCGGGGATCCTTGTGCTCATCAATGACTGTGACTGGGAGCTCAGGTGAAAAAGCGCAGGCCACGCCTGAAGCGGCTGGGGGCAGGAGCCAGGGGTGAGGCGTCAAACGGTGTGCGGCAGCGGCCTCGTCTCGGTAGCTGGAGGTGCAATTGGCTTCTCGTCAACGCCCACATTCGCTACTTGCATGCGTTTTGCGCCCCTGCATCCCAAGAATCGCGACAGCCGTGGGCACACAGTACTGTCGCCCGCTGATGCATTGCCTGTGACGCCGCAGCGGCATGCTGGATGCGGAGCTTCAGCCGGGGGACACAGTGGTCTTCATATCAACGCTGCACGGCGGGTAGCCCACACTGCACACTGCCTCGTCACGTTTCTTGTCCCGTCCCCAGCCCCAATTTACTTAAGACCTTGGAGTTGTTTGACTTGTTTGACAGTCAACCAACTCTTGTGTTTGTTGTGCATGACTGTTTCATTCGATGTTGAGAGGTCAGATGCTGCTGTTTCAAAGCTGGTGATGTAGACAGGCAATGTGAATGCACACTGCAGCAACATGCTGAAAGGGTTGACGATGTATTACAGTTCACACCCTTATTTAGCAGGCTTTGCAGCCGCCGGCGACAGTAACGGTGCTGTAAACCTCACTCAACTCACATGCTCACAACGCCAGCCATTTGCTCTCAAACTGAGAAGCTGCCAACCTGGCAGTGCCCGGCTGACCTCGGGCAGGTACAAGCCGTGACCCAAAGCGTACACAACCCCCGGCAGCCAGGGCTCACTTGGCCCCCAGGAACGATTTGACGCGCTCCAGCCAGCCGATATACTCGCGCTGCTCCTTGTCATACACGGCGTGACGCAGGTACTCCTGTTGGCGGTTGGGCAGGGTGGTCGGAGGGGTGAGGGGGAGGTTGGGGTACAAGTCATGACGTCACCACGGCTCACAAGATCCCCCTGCAGTGCTTCTGGCCCAAGTCCTCCATAGTCATGTCAGCAGGACCAAACGCCAGTGCCTCAGTCGTCCCCTCCCCCCCACGCATACCCAAATCCACTAACCAACCCAACCCTGGTTCCCCTGTCCCCAAGGCCTCACCCCCAGGTCCTCGTTGATGCCGCGCTCCTCCAGGTAAGACCCAAACGCTTCCTGCAGCGGCACAGGGAGCTCGTCGTACGCCGGACCTGGGGGGTTGAGAGGGGTTGCAGGTGCTCAGAGGGGTCAGATGAGGGACTGTAGGGTAGGTGACAGGCGGTTATGGGCAGTTAGAAAGGGCGCCGGCACGGCGACGCGGTGCAAGTCCCGATCATGACGCCTGCAAAGCAAGAGGGGGCCCGGAGAATAGGCCGGCAGTGGCTGCAATTGCGGCGGGGGCCTGTGGGCAGTGGCGGCCCAGCGGTGCCCGTGCACCTGTGTAAGCAGTCTCTGACTCCGGGGCGCCCGCCGGTTCGTGCGATACGTGCCGCACATCCAGGTAGGTGCCATCGCTGACGCACTCAAACACCAGGGATGACTCGCCCTTGGTGACGGTCACGTTGAAGGTGACCTGCACACCCATGGGATGCGTGAATGGGCGAGCGCGCATGACTGTACAGTATGCATATTGCGAGGGGCAGGCAGGTGGCAGGAAAGCTGCGGAAGCCGCAGCAGGCAGCCATAGCATGGCGCAGCCTGCGGAAAATAAAGCCCATAGCCACTCCCAGCTTGCCATTGAGCCAGCCTCCTGGAGAGTCTGGAAGGACAACAGCTGCCGGCGCACATTGCAGACATCGCCTTTTCGCTGCTTCTTCTCCCCAGAATCTTTTTCTCCCAGATTCTTCTTCTCCTCAAAAGCCGCCACCACCGCGACCCACGCGCGCGCACCTCTGAGCCGAGCTCGCCCTCGTCGCCCTCGTCCTCCTCCCCCTCCTCAAATTCCTGCGGCACGCCCTCCTGCAATCAGTCACAGGTGCGGCCAGAGGGGCGCTCAGGGGACCCCGCTGAAGACCGGCCTGCCGCCGATCATGGCTGGCAGAGTGACAATGGCAGCACATCTGCACTAGCTGCCAATAGCTTTGCGCCTTGTTCTGGCGAAATCGACAAACGCTCGTGGGCGGCGGGGGCGATGCAGCAGTGGCAAAAAAACTCAGTTGCTTGTCAGCCCTTGCTGCCGCCGCAAAGCGTCGCACTGGTACAAGGTGCATGCTCAAGCCGATCGCCCACCACCTGGCTTGGCCGGCCGGCCCACCAACCTGTAAGTTTACGGCCGCATCAACGGAGATCGTCTCGCCCTTGTAGTCACGCTTGAGCGTCACCGTGCCGTCCCCAGGTGCGCCGCTGACAGTGAATGGAGCCGGGGGTCCCTTGGCCAGCGGCTCCGGCTGCTCGTAAGTGGTCTGCTCGTGCTGCAGCTCGCGCTTGATCAGCGAGTGCAGGTCGTCAGACAGCGCGGGGCCAGAGGACGAGAAAGCCTGTGCCGCCTGCAGCAGCAGTGCGCGCCCGGCCGCCGCGACGGGCGCAGCAGAGTGAGCGGCGGTGGATGCCACGGCCAGGG